AGCCCCTTACCCTAACCTTAACCCTAACCAATTCATACCTACCCCTAACCTCAATTCAAGAGAGTTCCCAAATAAACACTTATCTAACCCTATCCCAGTCAGTGCCTTCACACTGTTGTAAACCTGAGAAAAAGAGTTTTGTTTCCAAATTTTTTGCCACATTAGAAGCGACATCTGGTCCCCATGAGGACTAGTAATCCCAGCAAGGTCAGTGTTTAGAAAAAGTCCCCAGTAGGTAACAAAATGTGTGTTTTAATTGAATTGAATTAAATTTTATTTATTAGTTTTACTGGGTGATTAATACTGTAATTCTGTATTAATCATTTAAGATGAGCACCATACTGAAACGTTGCATTAAACAGATGTACTGATGACTAGGTAACACTAACAATTAGGTTTTGAGCCAATCTGGCTATTTTTGTACATTCATTTATAGCATTAGCATTGTTGTGGAAGCTGTAAAATTCAATAAGCTGTGTTTCTTAATAGTTCAGTTTACCAGCAAACCAAGTACCGTAACATTACTGTATTCTTCAACACAGAGAAGAAGGCAGCTGATCAACAAGCTATCAACAAGCTCCATATCTGAAATCCTACAAATTATCTTCAAATTCTGCACAACACACAAACTCATCCTCCTGCAGCTTTCACCCAGAGTGATTGCAGTGCTATCTTCTTTTATCCACAAAGATCCTGCCACTCCAGCAGAAAATAGTTGTCAGTGTGGGGGTACAAAATGAACAAAATATAAATGATGAAGTCAAAACATGAGCCAGGCCTTAGCCCTTCCCCTTTATTTATTGTACAAATATATCTAGGAGACAGAGACAGAGCTTGTCTGATGACAGGGCTCCGCTGACCTGTAGCCACAGCACACTTGCAAAACAAAATCGTGCCAGAGACAAACAGCAGATAGGCCATAATTCTTGGCCCCAGTGACAGAGGGCCCGGCTCAGCAGGGGCCTCCTGCTCCAGTAAGCCTCGCTTGTTTTCTGGGCAGTGCTCCCTAATAGTCGGATGAGCAGATACAAGCTAATCGAGGACTTTGCACGGACTCTAGGAGGTCAGGGGTGAAACAGATTGATAGATGTCTCCCTGCATGCACCTTCTGCTGAGCAAACAACCTAATGGCAGAGATGTCCTGTGCAAGTCTTCTCTCTCACTTTGTCAGGGACAGGGCTTCATTTAGCTAAATAATCTTTGCATTAAATTATATTATTATATTAAGTTTCTGCATCTGCTATCATTTACTATAACTTGTAAAAGTTATGAATGGAGGAAAGTGTAGCAATGGCTGATGACTGACAGGACATTATTGATTAATTATTGATTTAAAGTAGATTCAATGTAGACTCTCAGAGTAACCTTGTGATTATTGGCAAATATGCCACTTACTGTTTTTCTAGAATTGTAGATAAGGAAATGCTGCTGCAAAAGGCTACAAAAATTGATGGGAATTTTTTAGTGAACCATCACCCCTGATTTGGCTCAGCTCAGTAATAAGAGTTTGCTCTTTCAGCTCTTAGTACAACTTCTGACTTTTATAATTTAGCCAATATTAGCAATGTTTTGATCTACTATGATTGGCATGTGTGCACATATATTACTATAATTTCCCAAATACTATAATTTTACATTACTCTTGGTATAAAAACCTTAAATTATGTACAAACATCAGACACAATTACACATCTGTATTGAATGATTTGTTTATTTAGAACTATGTTTTATATGTTGGCAACTGGCGCAATATACACAAGTTATTATCAAAGTGAGACGTTTCTGTATTGTATCTAACAAATATGTTATAAGATCATCCTATTAGTCCGTCTCTTTTAATAATTAATATATTTTACAATAAGAAAGAAAAAAATGAATTGGCTCTCAGACGGGAGCCGACTCCTTCACACACAATACATCACTATCCTCTAAAACATGATCAACAATGAAAACTAATATATAT